TGGTGCCTATAATGACGCTCGACGAAATGCGGCACCAGTTTTTGAGCGGGAGAGGGGACATGGACAAGCCTTCAGAGAACTACAGACGACCAAATCAGGTGGTGTGGGCGTACGTAGTCGAGGTGTGTTCTTATGCCTCAGAGCTTGCGAATTTACTGACGAACGCGTTCCCTCCAAGGATCCTGAGACGCATCGAGTAACGGACTTCTTTTCGTTCTACTCACTTCCCTCGACGATTATCAATCATCCTAAACACGATCTCTTAGCGGCGGCTTACTTATTCTACTATGCAAGCGATGCTGCGTTCGTACCAGGCGCAGACGCTGATGGCAAGCTGAAGAAGCGACTCATCCAGCTTTTTGGAGATGCTCTGATCATCGCGAATCAGGCCAAGTTCGACGTGTTCAATGCAGTCACTTTGATGGATAACGCAAGCTTCTTGGAAGATTTGAAGGTCTGCTTACGACTTTCTTGATTCTGCGCAGGTGGCGCTAATAAACATCTCAGTTCGGAGCAGGGGACGGATTGCTGAATTTTTACCTATACAATTGGAGAACAGCACCTCTGGCAGGTGTCGAAGCTGCTGGTGGAGTTGATGCTGGGAGAGGCGTTGGAGTTGTGATGCTGTAGGCTCAAAACGTGATGCTTTGTGCGTGCATCTCGTGGATTCGGGGTAACATAGCCATCTAATCTCATTGTTCATATTTGTTAGCGGAACTAAGGCCTTGGCTTCTCCAGTCCAAGCGTCCTTGCCTTCACAATCCTTGCTGGTAGCAGTGGTGAATAACATCATTTAAAGGAGACCAAGTTCACTGTTGGCGCGTGTGGCTGGATCAGATGGTTAATGCAACGAGGACCAATCACTTGATAGCCTAGCTGCACGTCATACGTGTGGGCGTCTATGAGTTGACACAATCGTACATATGTAGCCTTCCCTTACCATCTACCTTGCAACACTTCAATCACTGTCAATATCAATGATATCGTCGTCGTCAACGCCCCAATCAGGAGTAGGACTCCGCCTCTTCTGTGATCCTTTCGGCTGGCGGGACGGTGCTCCAAGGTCACGGCCTCTAAAGCTCGGCGGGACATGCGGTGGTGCAGGTGCCCGTGCTCCGAGGGTCTGCCCGGTTCCCCACGATTTCTGATTAGCCGCAGGTTGCAAGGGAGGCTTCGCCTTCTCTTTCCCCTTGGTTGCAGACGTCGACAGCCCAGATCGTCCGTTAAGCGTGTTACCAGCTCCGATAAATGAAGGCTAAGATGCGGAGTAAGGGAAGTGCGCACATAAAGAGGTGAACACTCACGAGTGAACTTGGGGTGGCGGAGGACGCTGAACCGTTCGTTCCGGGTGAAACATACGGTACGACGTTGAAACCGAAGAAGAGCTTTCCAAATGGAAGATTTAATGCTGCCGGTACTTTGACATCGGACTCCAGTGAGTCGCTTGTCACGACTTTCTGTTTGCTGGAAGAATGCTGAGGAAACGTCTAAAGAAGGTTCCATGAACGTACTCCGTGCGTAGGATTTTACTTCCTTCGGCGACATCTTCGACGCCACGGTGGCTAATACCCTTCCCTTTCGTCTTTCGGCCCGCCAGCGTTTCACCTTTACCTTGGAAGCTTTCCCAATGATCTCCTCCCTTACTGACAGTGGAGGGGCCACTGGAGACGAAACCGCCCGCAAGAGACGATGATGGGCGAGATGAGCCAGGAGAGGAAGAATTGAGGTCAATCTTGAGTTTGGAGGCCATCGTCGATGGGGGTGCAGCTTTCGGTCTTTCAGGCTCCACATAGCCGACAGGAGGAGCAAAGTCGACCTCAAGATCGGTATCGAGGACGTTGATGCCGGCTCCACCAGGGCTAGTTTCCATCACAAGAAATCCGAAGATCATCGAGTTGTAATATATTTCAATGATATCTCCCTGCGTGAGAGCGGAGAAGTTACGGAGCGCCTGCTCAAGCCTATCACGATATCATCAGTAATTGAAACGGGGCGGGCTGAAACCGGACATACACGGCCTTTGGATCAGATATTTCGAGGAAGTGGACGGTTTGCGCTTGTAATTTGACAAATTTGCCCTTTGGCAACTCTGTGCCAGTAATTCGGATAGGGTCCCCTTCATCTAGTCGGAGGGTCTTCATCATCCAGTATGGGAGATGAACGACGCCTTCTTCTGCAATAAACTCGAGGACGCCTGCATGGGTTGAGGCTGCAGAATTCGAAGGGTTACGGAGCTGGAACATCCAAGGAGACTCAAGGTCCAAGCTCGTAAGATGTGCGAGGGCGGAAGGTGGCATAATGACTTAAAGAACAAGAGCAGTTAAATATCACGGAAGATGCGATGAGAGACAACATACTCTTTCCTCCATAAGACAAGTTCTCTCGCTCTCGGCCGGGAAGCATGGCAACACTATAGGCTTTCAAGTACTCATCGTAAGATCTTGCGGGAGGTCGACCGAGCCGGGGACCTAAGGGACCCCCGAAGCCTCTGCACATTCACGAATCCAGGTCAGATCCCTTTGCAGTGAGGGTCGCGGACGTGGCGTACTGTGCAAGCTGGGCAAACAACCCTCCTGGTCCAGCTCCCATTCCATTTTGGTGGCCAAACTAGAGTCGTACTCAGTAACTGGGCATATCCTGGGTCACTAGACTTACGAAATCCATCGAAGATTGTGGTAGGAAAGCAAGAGCAGCTTATACGCTCCTTGTGCTATTAGACAGCGTACGCAATGCTGCTGCGGCAATGTCCGTGACTCCAAATCAAGCGAATGCAGACGCGTCGATTGCTTGCTCTTTAATCAGACCAGAGGTTTGCTCATCGAAGGCCCATTTTCAACTACTCTCTGGTTCGCACCGGAATGGCTACGAAATCTGGGCAGACTCCCGCACAGGCCGTCTCTCGAAATGGCGCGAATGCTGCGTTCAACGACAAGGTACGGAGACGACGAGCCTGCATGTACGGGTTCTGATTACACACGTTACAGGGTAAGCCGATGGAGCTTCGCATGTCCAACATGGTCGCTGCAAAAGGTTCGATCTTCCATGGGCTAATCGTGTGTTAGCTAAGGATTTCCTGCTTAGCTATCAGCGACGCTGTCCGCACGTCTCTAGGTCCAAGAGGGATGGACAAAATGGTACCGAATCGCTGCTATCCCAAGTGTACAGTGTACAGAAACGTTAATCGAATTTTAGATCCAAACCTCTAAAGGGGAGGTTCTTATCACGAACGATGGTGCCACGATCCTAAGGAGTATACAAGCCCTTCATCCTGCGGCCAAGATGGTGACCTACACACACCTCGTTGAAATTTTGCGATGGCTCACTTCGTGTCTAGCTCGTCGACCTCTCTGCTGCTCAAGATGTTGAAGCAGGTGATGGCACAACCTCGGTCGTCGTTCTCGCCGGCAGCCTCCTCGGCGCAGCAGAGAAAATGCTCCTGAAAGGCATCCATCCCACTATCATAGCTGAATCGTTCCTCAAGGCATCTGTGAAGGCTGTTGAATACCTTACCGAAATATCTACTCCTATTGACTTGAACGACAAGGCCAGCCTGTTGCGCGCAGCAAGTACGTCGTTGAACTCAAAAGTTTGTATCCACATCTTTTATGTATGTACTGGCCCAATTTTGCTGATGGGCCTGCAAAGATTGTCTCTCAGTACTCAGCAACCCTGGCGCCTATTGCCGTTGCTGCTGTTACTCGACTTGTGACCCCTCAGTCTTCCAGTGTAGACCTTCGGGACATCCGAGTGGTCAAGAAGGTTGGGGGTACCATCGAAGACACAGAGCTCGTAGACGGCGTAGTCTTGAATCAGAACGTTATCGTATCCGCTGGTGGTCCCACTCGCATTGAAAAAGCCAAGATCGGTATCATTCAATTCCAGCTTAGTGCGCCTAAGCCAGATGCAAGTGGTACCTACACATCACATTTCCGTGCCGCTTACGATGCTCTTTCAGATGGACAATACCGTAGTCATCAATGATTACAGACAGATGGACAAAGTCATCAAGGAAGGTCGTCAATACCTTCTCAACATCTGCAAAAAGATCAAAAAGGCAAACTGCAACGTACTTCTCATCCAAAAATCTATACTACGGGACGCTGTCGACGACACCTCGCTTAGCTTTCTCAAGCGCCTTAATATCTTGGCCGTTAAGGACGTGGAACGTGATGAAATTGATTTCCTGTCGAAGAGCCTGGGATGCAAACCTATCGCCGACATCGAGGCATTTACGGAGGATAAGCTGGGATATGCGGATTTAGTCGAGGAAACCTCGCAAGCAGGTGCGAAGGTGGTGAAGATTACAGGTGTCAAAAATCCAGGTCGCACCGTTAGTATTCTGGCTATGGGAGCCAACAATCTCGTTGTCGAGGAGTGCGAGCGCAGTCTTCACGATGCACTTTGCGTGGTCCGATGTCTTGTGAAAAAACGGTACGTCGTTGCTTTGGTTGATTGTGATATCTGCTGAGTATGTGTCAACAGAGCACTCATCGGGGGTGGGGGATCTCCTGAGATTCATGTGTCACGTCTACTCTCCCAATACGCACAGTCGCTGAAAGGCATGGAGGCATACTGCTGCCAGGCCTATGCCGATGCGTTGGAAGTGATACCAACTACCCTAGCAGAAAACGCGGGTCTCAATCCAATTTCTATTGTCACGGAGCTGCGCAATCGGCATGCGCTAGGAGACCGTAACGCGGGTATAAACGTGCGGACGGTGCGTTGACGCTTCGGCAGTCTTTTGTTGAAATTCGCTGATGCTTTGTCAGGGTCTCATCTCAAATATCTTGGAGGAGGATGTCGTCCAGCCCTTGCTTGTGTCCACCAGTGCGGTTGAGCTAGCGACGGAGACCGTCTGTCTGTTGCTGAAGATTGATGACTACGTACAAGCAAGGTAATTGATAACTAGTACATACTATCGAAGCTATCTAGTGTCATTGCTTCAAAGCTGAGTCTTCAAGTACTTTGATAAAGTAACACAAAATTTGTCCAACAAAAAATGCCAGGACCGTGGATCGAACACGGGACCTCCAGAAACCCATCGGAACTTCAGTCTGTTGCTCTCCCAGCTGAGCTATCCCGGCGACAACCAATGCCGACTTTTCATATCCAATAGTGGAATCCAACCATCCGGGTAGATACCACTGAGGTTACCTACCATTCCTGTCTTGTAGTTTGCAGCCATGTCTGGTACGGGTCCTCGAGAGAATGTCTTCGCTACACGAATGGCGTTGACAAACATGAAGCTTCGTCTCAAAGGCGCCGAGACTGGACACTCGTTGCTTGCAAAAAAGCGCGACGCATTGACGACGAGATTCAGAGCAATCCTGAAGAAGGTGGACGAGGTGCGTAGTTGATCGTGCTTCAAGTCTGGATTGTTCCAGTTAATCTTTCTTATCGTTCCAGGCAAAACGAAAGATGGGACGGGTGATGCAGCTAGCATCGTTCTCCATGGCAGAGGTCACATATGCCACCGGTGACATATCCTACCTTGTCCAGGAGCAGGCAAAGTTGGCGACTTTCCGGGTCAAGGCAACGCAAGAGAATGTCTCAGGTGTCCTTCTCCCTGCTTTTGAGGTTGATCGCGTTTCAGGTTCAGGTACATCCAGTCGCCCCTGCGCGTGGTTGGATGCATATTGATCCGTATGATGGTATAGACTTCAACCTGACGGGTCTCGGCCGTGGTGGGCAGCAAGTGTTGCGGGCGAAAGAAGTCTATGCGAAAGCTCTGGAAACCCTCGTTGAACTCGCATCGCTACAGACGGCGTTCACTATTCTCGATGAGGTCATCCGAGCTACAAACCGTCGAGTGAACGCCATTGAACATGTTATTATTCCACGGCTTGACAATACTATCAAGTACATCATGAGCGAATTGGACGAAATGGATCGTGAAGAGTTCTTCAGGTGAGTGATGATCATGAAGCCAACGAAACGCAGATAACTCATGACGTACCTAGATTGAAGAAGGTACAGGGCAAGAAGAAAAGGGATGCTGCGGAGAGACAAGCCATCACTGAGGGCGCAGGGGAAAGTGCGGAAACGTTGCTGGAATCCAAGATTGAGGAGCCTAGCGTGGACCTCCTCAGCAGTAAGGACGAAGATGTCATTTTTTGATTGGCAACAATGGACCACACTTTAATACCCTTTGCACCATTTTGATTCTACTGTACCGATGTAATCACAAATTCCTGTGCGGATCACTCGTAATTCTTTGCATGGCTGTTTGACGACGCAGGTCATGGTGCATATCATGTGCGGAGCGACGCATAGATACATGGGTGATTTTATGAGATGCAATGCAGAAAGGCCAAGCGGAAAAGTCATGGAGTTTACTAAGGATGAAAGTTAGCTGGCTAATCACCTTACTATATGCTATACGCACGTCCACCATCTCCACATCGTCAGATTTTGCGTTCTTCTTCCTGTCCTTGCGGTCCAAGATTGCCCGTCTGTGCGAGGAAATTGAGCCCCGTAAAGAAAATGCTCGAATAATCACACGACATACCTGTCCTTGTCAAGCTTGATGGTGGTGATGACGACCTTGCTGGGGTGTATACCAATGGGCGACGTTGCACCATTGGATTTATCGCGTTGTACGCGATCCACGTGAATGACCCACTTCTTTCGGTATACCTGCGTAACCTTCCCCTCTCGTCCCTTGTATTTCCCGCGCACAATTCTTACTTCGTCGTCCTTACGGATGGGCAGTGAACGCGCCTGTGATGATCCGTCAATGACTGGCGTGAGAGGCGGGGAGATCGTCTATTCCACGCACGTTGTACTTTCCCCGAAGCTCCTTGGACAGAGGCGACGACATGATTTTGCGGCGGATAGACGAGGGTGCGCTGAAGTGGGCCTTGCGGGACTTGCGCCGCGAAGAAGAAACGTCTGTTGAACGAAATGAAATCGATCAGCACGCCGTGACACCAGTCATCCAAGTAGCCATATTGCAATCCAGCACATTAGAGACAACAGAGCCGCATTTTGGCGCAGAGTTGGGATGGATCGAGAAAAAGGATAGGCTGGGACGAGTACTGACCGGGGTTGAACTTCATCTTGATCTTGAGGACGTCGGTGACGGTGACGACGGGCTTGGATGTTGGGTGTATGGATCGAGTTGTTTGGTCCAAAGTTTGGACCTCGGGTTTTGCCGAATACGGTGCTGCACTTGTCTACGACAGTCCATGTCTACGGAAAAGGTACGTTCGACGAAGCTCAAGTTCAAGGGAGAAAAGACGAAGAAGAAGCGAAAGCGGGACGATGAGGGAGGGAGCTCAACCAAGCATAGGCGTGTTGAGGACGACGAGGATCCCGAAACCTGGGTGATGCCCGAAAACCCAGCTGAAATCCGTGGTCCTACATTCATCATGCATCCATCAGACACTTCTCCAATCTCTGTCAACTTCGACTCGACGCGAAATCGGATAATACTGCATTCTATCGATAAAGAGCCGTCTACGGACACCTCGTCGTTGCTTGACCGTGTCCCCAGCGAAGTTGGCCAGGTATGGGTCACTACGCGTGTCGCCGGCTCTCCCACAATAAACCTCCGCACGGGAACCGGAGAAGGGAAGTTCTTGTCCTGCGATAAGCACGGCATCGTTTCTGCCAACAGGGAGGCCAGAGGACCGGAGGAAGAATGGACTCCAGTCATTTTGCCTGATGGCATGGTTTCCTTCATGAATGTATACGAGAACTATCTTAGCGTGGACGAAGTTGCAGGCGGAATTTTGCAATTACGGGGTGACTCCGAAGAAGTTGGTTTCAGGGAGCGGTTCTGGGTAAAAGTACAGAGCAAATACAAAAAGGAGGCCCACGAGGAGAAGAAGAAACGGGAAGCTGGTTCGGAGTTGACGACCTTTGATGAGGCCGGTACAAAGTGAGTTTATTTCGGGAGTTCTATCGATGCGAGGGACTAACCGCTTGTCTCACGCAGCCGCCTGTATCAGGCATGGGGTGCTGGTCGCTCTGTGGTGTCCAAAGATGACAAGAAAGAAGTAATCTGGATATTTTTTCTGACCAATCTGATGTTGACACCATAATATAGTTGAAGCGTGCTCGAAGAGAAGGACGTCTCTCCGAAGCGCTCTTGGATCGTAGAGCAAAGCTCAAAAGGCATGTTCTCAACCCCTCAATAGTTCATCTATTCACGCTTCTTCTTTTGCAGTGATCGATTTTGTTGACCTCTGATGCTTAGTATTCGACCGTGTACATCACCATCCTGTGCCACTGTATTGCATCCATTCGAATCAGAATCCAGTGCGCGCGATCGGTCATGCTAAACAGGGAAGTGTCGAAGAGTCTGGAGAGTATAAATGGGCCGCTGGATAGTCGCTCCCATACTGTTGTGCCCCACTGAACGAGACGTTCCCCTGCAGCGATGGCAAGGACACAGAAGAAACCTATTCCCATGCCGTACTACCAAATCCATTCCGTAAGGGCGCTGCGCTGTGAAGCACGCATGACAATCGCTCAGTGTTGTGCCTTTCGCGTAGGTCCTCTTGCCTCCCACCATTCTGGTTACCAGTCATGGTCACTGGCAGAGTATGATCAGATTCACCGCCAATGAGTACCTCGACCTCACTGAAAGGGTTGAGGAACAAAATCCGGATGCTCTCCAGCGCTTCATGGACAAAGTAATTTGCCTTTTCTTTGTGGCCTTGAGTACAAATTTGACGCAGAAAAGGTGCACAGTCGTGACTCCAGCCTCGCGAAGAATTACGAACATTCGTGGGTGATCATGGCGTACCTAGAGCAATACATATTGTCGCGCCAGCGCCAGCATTCCGGCTTCCGTGATCGCCAGAGCAGGATCCAGCGATTTGTGAGGTGTCCTGACCCTCTGTGGGTACGGTATGCGCGAGCAGTAGGTATATTTCACCATAGTTGCTAGTTTCTATCTGACATGACTAGCAAGCAGAGGGGGGACCTCTCCTCAGAAGCTGCCAAGTAGGTCGCCGTGCTTTGGTAAATTTTTTATTATTGTTCAAGGTTACGGAAAATGACCTTTGTTCAGAAGAGGCGAGTGGCAAAGAAAGGAGGCCGCCAGTCAGGCCGAGTCACGCAACCGCGCCAAATCAGAAAAAAGTGCACGGTAGGCGATGAGTCGTCCGATGATGAGCCCAGCTATGCTGGTACGCTGATCGCAGATGCATCCCCTCCTGATGCTGTACGCGATTTCCTGCGCTCTCTGCGACCCTCTCTCGAAGGGTTCTACTCATGCTTTGTTGAAATGGGAATCAAAACCGGCGATGATCTCGCAGACTTTTTTTCCTGGCGTAGCGAGTACCAGGAGGAATTCATGCGCAAGGAATTGGAGCAGAAAATGAATTCCTTGCAGTTGTACGGTTTGCTAAGCAATTTGCGAGGGCGTGGAAGAGATGTCCTTTGAATGTTTGGCGTTTTGAGCGGTTGTATGTAGCCAGGCTTCGAGCGCTAATAAAGCCAAATACCATTACGTTGGCGAAGTGTGTTACAGAACTTGCACTTGACCAAGTCATGGAGAACTACACTCAGGAAAAGAATGTCGTCTCAGCTACACCTGAAGTTGTCCCTTTGATTGGGAGTCTTTTACCCCGGGACATGCTCTTTCTTTCGTTGGCAGCCGCCGTGATACTCGTCGTCGGTTCGTCGCGTGTTTCGTCTAGACGTCAAAGACTGACTTGAGCCAGTATTGTCGTTCTCCCGCAGGAGTTCACGTTCACGGGCCAATTCATTGTTACTAGTCGGCCCTCCTCACTCGGGCAAAACAGCCATACTGTCGACTGTCAGTCCACACGTATTTGCCTTACGCTGTTCTGACGCATGTGGAAGATCAGCTTGCGTATAACCAAACGCTGTCGTCGCATACATCGTTACAAACAAACTCGGCACATGTAGTCTTGTCGACTGCAAGGACTGTGCGCGTGGTGGATGTACCGGGGCATCCCCGTCTCAGAGACCAGTTCCGAGAATATCTCGGAGAAGCAAAAGCGATTGCATTCGTCGTCGACGCAAGTACCATTTCGCGAAATGGGTCTACCGTCGCAGAGTAAGTTCGAGCAGATCCCGTCATCGTCATATGATTGCTGATGGATGCATT